CTTTGGGTCTAAAATGAGTCTCTTGCAGGCAGCATATCGACTGGTCTTGTTTTTTTTTAATCCAATCTGATACCCTGTGTCTTTTGATTGGGGCATTTAGCTCATTTACATTCAGGGTAACTATTGAAAGGTATGAATTTAGTGCCATTGTATTGCCTGTAAGGTGACTGTTATTGTATATTGTCTGTGTTCCTTTCTGGTCTATGTTGCTTTTAGGCTCTCTCTTTGCTTAGAGGACCCCTTTCAAGATTTCTTGTAGGGCTGGCTTTGTGTTTGCAAATTCCTTTAGTTTTTGTTTGTCCTGGAAGTTTTTTTATCTCTCCTTCTATTTTTCAATGACAGCCCAGCTGGATATAGTATTCTTGGCTGCATATTTTTCTCATTTAGTGCTCTGAATATATCCTGCCAGTCCTTTCTGGCCTGCCAGGTCTCTGTGGATAGGTCTGTTGCCAATCTAATGTTTCTACCCTTGTAGGTTATGTATCTCTTGTCCCGAGCTGCTTTCAGGATTTTCTTTTTGTCTCTGAGACTCATAAGTTTTACTATTAGATGTCGGGGTGTTGACCTATTTTTATTGATTTTGAGAGGAGTTCTCTGTGCCTCCTGGATTTTGATGCCTGTTTCCTTCCCCAAATTAGGGAAGTTCTCTGCTATAATTTGCTCCAATATACCTTCTGCCCCTCTCTTTCTTCTTCTTCTGGGATCCCAATTATTTTAATATTGTTTCGTCTTATGGTATCGCTTATCTCTCGAATTCTGCCCTCGTGATCCAGTAGTTGTTTATCTCTCTTTTTCTCAGCTTCTTTATTTTCCATCATTTTGTCTTCTCTATCACTGATTCTCTCTTCTGCCTCATTTATCCTAGCAGTTAGAGCATCCATTTTTTATTGCACCTCAATAATAGCCTTTTCGATTTTGACTTGGTTAGATTTTAGTTCTTTTATTTTTCCAGAAAGGGTTTCTCTAATACCTTCCATGCTTTTTTCAAGCCCAGCTAGTATCTTTAAAATTGTCATTCTGAACTCTATTTCCGACATCTTACTAATGTCCGTATTGATTAGGTCCCTGCAGTCAGTACTGCCTCTTGTTCTTTTTTTTTTGAGGTGATTTTTTTCTATCTTGTCATTTTGTCCAGAGGAGAACAGATGAATGAGAGAACAAAATGCTAACAGGGTAACAACAACCCCAGAAAAATATAAACTAAACAAACCAGAAAAGACCTGAAACCGGAGGAAAAGAAAGGGAAAGAATGAAAAGAAAAAAAATAAAAATAAAAATAAAGCATATGATCAAATATGATCAGGCTGGTGCATAGATCAGTGCCACACACTAGATTTTGGGCGTATTTTGGTCTGTTAGAAGAAATGGCCTCCCAAAATTTTAAAGAATGGAAAGCTTATATATGTACAAAAAATAGGGTAAATACGATGAAGGGATGGAATGTGACTGTAAAGATGAAAATTATAAAAGATTTTATAAAAGGAATTGATAAGGTAAGTAGTTGGTTGAAAAAAGAAAGAAGAGAAATTTAAAAAAAGGGTGGGAGAATGTGATGAGGCAGGAAACTAAAACAAAGCCATACACTATAGAGATTTAGGGTATATTTTGGTCTTTAGAAGAAGCTGTATCCCAAAATTTTAAAGCCAGAACAACATATATATACACCAAAAATAAGGTTAACTACTATGAAGGGATAGAATATGACTCTAAAAATGAAAAATAAAAAAGATTTTTAAAAAAGGGATTGATAAGATGTTGGTTGAAAAAGGGAAAAAGAAAAATTCAAAAAAATAGAAAAAGAAAAAAGAAAATTAAAAAAAAATTAACTTTGAAAGACTAAAGAATCAGGGGGAAGAAAGTCATGAATTCTTTGTGCTGCATTCCCCTAGTGCTGGAGTTCTGGACCTAAGACTTATTTTTAACAAAATTCTGCAACATCAAGTCAAAGTCACTTCTACATTGACATCATGGTAATCTCTGCACTTTTAAGAATTTTAAGACACTCCCCATTTTTCTCAGCACCTTTCTTAATTTCCCTTAACAAACTGCCTTTCAGACTAATAGGTTTTGTTTTCTGCATTTCTTAAGTAATACTAAAAATTCATTCTTTCAGTAGGTATTTAGAAATGAAAAAAGTAGATTTTGAAATATGTCTAATATATTTTATACCAGTTTTGAACCAGAATGATACAAGTATTGAATTTTTTTTTGCAGGTCTTAGATTTTCATTCTGACGGAAAATTTAAAAGAGGACTTCTAAAATCATTCCAGATACTAAAAAAACCCAACTCTAATCTTACAGTAAATTATCTGAAGTAGAAAATTCAGCTTTCTATGTATACAAATATAGAAAATACTATAAAATTTTCTTAAAGATATTAGTTATGCTTATTCTTACACCTATTTTACACTATGAATATGTGTTAAATATTGTTGGCACAAAACAAACTATAAATTTGTATTAATTGCATAATATTAATAACACTGTACAAGAATGACTTGTCTTCATCTTAATTTTTGAGGATTAGAGATGTGGTTAAGAGGAATAAACATTTACATGAGGTCATAAATGAAGTACCATGATTCAGCTCTTATTTTCCTTCTTTATAAATAAAAGGACAAGAATGTATGTGTTTTATATGGGTATGAGTTTTATTGTAACTCCATAGCTTAAACCTGAGAAAAGAAATTCTGGGCTTATAAATTTAAGACCTTAACTGAGATAATGATTAGAAACCTGGTTTAGATAAACCTCATTTCGTCCTTCAGCTTTATGAGCCAAACCAGTAAACTCCAGTTTTTGGTTCTATGGCAGCAGAGCTATTGTTAATTAGGGTGAGGGGTCCCCGTGAAATATACCTGGAGAGAGGTACTCCAGGCACTTAGGCATGTGTCTGCCTTCACTCACAGTTTGCACGATTACATAAAATAAATGTTATGAAATTTATTCTGTGTAAGACCGAAAAAAAGGAAAAAGTTAGAATCCTTGAGTGATTGAATGGAGCAGCAGAAATGCTCTAGGTATAGCCAAAATTTGAGCCTAATCACATAACAGTCACACCTTATCTTTATTGGCATAACACACGAGAAGCTTAAAATTTGATCGATATGGTAAACCTATGAGCAATGTCTCAAATCACACACCTAGCTCTTACTGCTCTTTGCTCTCCACACAAGTTAGCATTTTTCTTCAAAAGTATTATTATTTTCTGACCAAAATTATCTAAGTAACTGCCTTAACTTTGCTTTGCTAAGAAGAACTTCACCAATTAATATTTATTAGGGACCTAATGTATGTCCTGATTTTTCTTCATGCTTCCTAAATTTAGAGCTTTGAGGGCAATAACCTAGAAAATGACATCATCACTAATCATATGATCATTTTAAACCAGTATGTGGTTTTAGTTACCAAAAAAATCATTCCCTACATTTCTAAATTTTAAGTGCTTTTTGAATAATGATCTGAGTATGCTTGACATTTGATTATGAAAAGAGACCATTTAAAAGTATAGATTTTACAGTGGCTTATAAAAATAAAAAAGTGACAATATAGTTGCTACAGGGAAATTGTGTAGTGGCTACAAGCCTATTTTTTAGATCACAAAATTTCATTTAATATGAGTATGCTGTTATCAAATTCATCAGTTACACCACCCAGCAACATACAGCTCAACAACAATCTTTCAGTATTTTGCACTGTCTATATATTCATTAACTTGTTAAACCAATCCTCAGCTGTCATGTTTGCTTGTTTTTATTATTAACCAAATACAGTCATGGGGCTCATTAAAAGAAAAAAAAAATGAATTGATTTCCTAAGAAGATCACTGAACTTTTTAATGCCAACATGACAATTAAGGCAAAAAATAATTCATACACAATATTTATGTTCCAGAATGCAGGAAGGTCCTGGAAAAAGCTGACATGCACAAAAAAAACATTTGTTACATTTTGTTATTATACACTTGTAAACATATCCTGTGAAATATGTAAAAAAAAGTCTTGTTTGAAAATAGCATTATCCCTGATTCTCATAAATTACTTATATCTGGAAATGAATGTAGTATGACAATGACAATTTCAAAGAAGTTTGTTCAAAACCGATGTCAATAACGTTTTGTTCAGATAGCTTCTGAAGCACTGTTAGGAAAAACTAATTTTAATTCATTCTCAAAAAAGAAAAAATATTTGGGAAAAAAAAAAAAAGCAAGAGGCACCTGGGTGGCTCAGTCAGTTAAGCATCAGACTCTTGATTTTGGCTCAAGTCATGATCTCAGGATTTTGAGATCAAGACCCACCTTGGGCTCTGTGCTGGGCATGGAGCCTACTTAAGATTCTCTCTCTCCCTCTGCCCCTATCCCACCTCCCACCCCCACCCCCTGCTCACAGGTGCCCTAAATAAATAAATAAGAAAAAAAGAAAAAATGTGTTAGCTCTGTACTTTTACCTTACTCAAAAACAGCTGAAGTTAAAAAAATAAAGTTTCCCCTGAGAAGACATTTGTAAAATGAGTAAAAAAAAAAAAAAAATGAAAAACAACATAGAAAATGTCAAATACATTACTAGCCACAGGTATGCTGATGAAGCCTTACATATAATTTTGGTCTGTTTGGAAAAATACATTGCAAGAATTACTTAAAATCAGATCACAATCAGTTTATATATAGTATATGATTGCTTACATTTCCAGTGATTTCTGCAAACATTGTTTTCTTAAATTATTTGGACAAATGCTAGCAGGATTTGCATTAAAATTGATTTCTCTGCAACAGATTGATAAAATATTCTAGCACATACCATTTTCTTACACTGGACTCAAAGATGAATTTCCTCTAATAATCCGCTTAGCATTAAGAAAGAATAAAAAAAGCTCACAAACTCACTTTAATTTAAATTTGCATTCAGGAAGTTCTTGTCTGATATAATTCAGCTGATAAATATGAACCTATGTGTTTATCAAATCCCTAAGAAGATTATCTAAATCAACTCCGTGTAATTACCATTCACCATCTGTTCCACCAGGGCCTGAGCTGATCTGCTGGCATCTTGCAGTTTTCTGAACTTCTCGGCTTTTTCTCGCTCTATGGCCTGCAGCATGACAGCAAAGGTGAGTATTTCAATACAAAGATTGTGAAGCTACACAGTAATTATAACTTCTACTTGCCCTTTCAAGACTTAAGATATTTCACTCTGTCAGCTTATCGTGTGAATCTAAAGATTTTTTTTCTCAAGTTTCTTGGCACCAGAAGCATCCAAATGACAATGAAAGCACAAGCCATTTTCATATTGAATTGCTACTACTTTTAATAAGATTTCTACTCTTAACTTTTTTTTTTTACACAATAGTTTCTGATGCACTGTAATATAAGGCTGCAAAAAAACCCACAAAAAAACAAAAGCAAATAATAAGAAACAATGAAAGTATAAAGTGACAGAGACAGATAATTAAAACTTAAATTTGTCTTTTAAATACACACCACTGAAATTACTCCTAATAACTTAAGTACGTATTCTGTATTAAAAATCAAATAGAAAATCTTGTAAGTATATGAAGAGGGAAATGCACATTAGAATGAATAATTTAGCAAAAAAACCCATATTTACCTAAATACAAGACTACAGGTTAATTTTTCTCTCTAAAACTTTCAAAGTACTCCCATTTCAAGGAAAAATAGATTCAGTTTCGAAAAGCTTTCTAAATTCTTTTGTTCATTTCTCCTAACTTAAACATAACTTTTGAACAACAAAACCACAATGATTTGAATTAATAAAATCTAGCATTTAATACTGTTGGGTTTAGTTAATAATGTCTCTACAGATATATATTACATATATATAAGATATATATTATATATATTAAACTATGATACAACTGAACTGTATTATCATAATCATTAGCTTTGTACTTTTACAAAAAAATATGTGGCTATAACATTATGTTATGTGTCCTAAAACATAACTACCTGCAGAAAAAGCAAGCTTTAAAGCATTTAACATATAGTTGGAGCAATACTCCTGTGACCCAAAAATAGCATCATACAAAGATTTCACTTGAGTTTGTGACAGGAGGTTATTCTATATCCAACTTTTTTTTAAATTTTAATTCGATCTATATGTCTCTAAACAAATGTTACAGGGTATAATATCGGAGTACAGGTAGGAGGCCTGTAATCAACATGTGCACACTCTGCAGAGCATTGTTCAATAGAACTTTCTGCAAGCATGAAAATATTATAGATCTGTGCTGTCCAATACAGTAGCCATTAGCCATATGTGGGTACTGAGTACTTGAAAGGTAGCAAGTGTGACTAAGGAAACTAATTTTTGATCTAATATAATTAAATTTAAATGTAAAAAGCTACCATGTGTCAAGTGCCCATTGTAATTCTACAGCGCAGATCTAGTGCCTTCCCTTTTGAAAGCCAATAAAGACAGACAGACAGACATGTAGACTAAATACAGATGAAGATACTATGGCAACATCAGAAATACATTCAGAGAAATAAGTAATCTATTTCCCAAGCACACCAAATGATAGGAATGCTCACACTATAACCCATACATTCTAAAATATTTAAAATGATTCTCCAATTTAAAGAAATAACCACAATTAAAAAGAAGCCTTTAAAAATTGGATTTAAGACAGAGTTTCATGAACTGGGATTATTGGATTCAGGGTCAAGGATGCAAAGTGCTGGAGGAAAAAGATGGTGAAGGAGTAGGGGACCCTATTTCAACTGGTCCCTGGAATTGAGCTGGCTATCTACCAGACCACTCTGAGCACCCACGAAACCAGCCTGAGATGTAAGAAGATCTGGATCTCTAGAAGCAGAATATCACAGGCAGTTGATTTCCAGGTGAGCACAGATTCTGTGGGCAGAAATTGGAGGATAAACGGCAGCGGGAGGGAGCCTGGCCATGGGGATCCTACACCGCCGGTGAGTGACAGCCTCCTGCTCGGGGGACGGGGCACAGACTCGCAGACCGGTAGCGGCTGGGAAAGGACTTTAGGGCAGCCCCTGGGGCAGAAACCTGGAACGGAGGGGTCGCGACTGCGAACTGGGCGCAGCTGGCGGTTTTAGAAGCACAAAGGGCAGAAATGGGCCCCAACCTGGAGGCAGGACTGGGGGTGCTGTGGAAGGGTGCACAACCCAGGACGCTGCAGTTTATAGCAGCACGGACAGAAACAGAGACAGTGTGGCCTGGAGAGCTCACTGAAGAACAGACTGGGATCTCTCTGCTCTGAGGCAGAAGGTTGGAAACAGTCTCTTCTGCTCTCTCGGAAGAGACGCAGAAAGCCACCAGGGAAAGCCACCAGAGAACAAAAGCCCCCCAAAACTAGTTCCCACTGAGTCCACTCCTCACCACAGGGGGGCAGGGCAACTCTGCCCAAACAGGGTTGCCTGAGTAACAGCATGGCAGGCCCCTCCCTCAGAAGACAGGCTGGGAAAACAAGAGGCCAGCAACCCTAAGGTCCCAAGAAAACAGGTGCATCTTGCTTGGGTTCTGGTCAATAATTTGGATGCTAAACATTCCCTCAACCACTCATCAACAGAATGAATAGGAGGAGGAACCCCCCAAATAGGAAAGACTCAGAGATTAGGACTTATGCTGCAGATTTACAAATGGATGCAGATATAACCAAGATGTTGGAGATGGAATTCAGGCTAGCAATTGTGAAGACAATGGCTAGAATGGAGAAATCAATTAATGGCAACATAGAGTCTCTAAGGGCAGAAATGAAAGCTGAATTGGCAGAACTTAAAAATGCTATCAATGAGATCCAATCTAATCTAGATAATCTAACAGCTAGGGTAAGCGAGGCAGAAAAACGAATCACAATTAACCTGGAAGACAATTTAATAGATAAAAAGGGAAAAGAGAAGGCCAGGGAAAAACAACTCAGAATCCATGAAAATAGAATCAGAGAAATAAGTGACACCATGAAGCATTCCAATGTCAGATTTATTGGAATCCCAGAGGGAGTGGAGAGAGAGAGAGGGCTAGAAGATGTATTTGAGCAAATCGTAGCTGAGAACTTCCCTAATCTGAGGAATGAAACAAACATTCGTGTCCTAGAGGCAGAGAGGACCCCTCCCAAGATCAAGGAAAACAGGCCAACGCCCCGGCATGTAATAGCAAAACCCGCAAATCTTAGAACCAAGGAAACTATCTTAAGGGCAGTTAGGGGAAAGAGATTCCTTATGTACAGAGGGAGGAACATCAGAATAACGTCAGACCTATCCACAGAGACCTGGCAAGCCAGAAAGGCCTGGCAAGACCTATTCAGGGTACTAAATAAGAAGAACATGCAGCCAAGAATACTTTATCTGGCAAGGCTGTCATTTAGGATGGATGGAGAGATGCAGAGCTTCCAGACCAGCAGAAACTGAAAGAATATGTGACCACTAAGCCAGCCCTGCAGGAAATATTAAGGGGGATTCTATAAAAGGAGAAAGACCCCAAGAGTAATATACAACAGAAATTTACAGGGACAATCTATAAAAACAACGTCTTCACAGGCAACATGATGACAATTAATTCATATCTTTCAATAATCACTCTCAACGTCACTGGCCTAAACACTCCCATAAAATGGCACAGGGTTGCAGACTGGATAAAAAGACAGGACCCATCCATATGCTGTCTACAAGAGACTCATTTTGAACCTAAAGATACATCCAGACTGAAAGTGAAGGGATGGAGATCCATCTTCCATGCCAGCGGATCTCAGAAGAAAGCTGGGGTAGCAATTCTTATATCAGACAAATTAGATTCTAAACTAAAGTCTGTAATTAGAGACACAGTAGGACACTATATCATTCTTAAAGGGTCTATCCAACAAGAAGATCTAACAATTGTAAATATCTATGCCCCCAACATGGGAGCAGCCATCTACATAAGCCAACTGTTAACCAAAATAGTCATATTGATAACAATATGTTAATTGTAGGAGACCCCAATACTCCATTCTCAGCAATAGACAGATCATTTAAGCAGAAAATCAACAAAGAAACAAGAGCTTTGAATGATATACTGGACCAGATGGACCTCATAGATATATACAGAACATTCCACCCTAAATCAACAGAATACTCATTCTTCTGGAGCGCACATGGAACTTTCTCCAGAATAGACCACATACTGGGTCACAAATCAGGTCTCAACCAATATGAAAAGACTGAGATTATTCCCTGCATATTCTCAGACCACAATGCTCTAAAACTGGAACTCAATCACAAGAAAACATTTGGAAGAAATTCAAACACTTGGAAGCTAAAGACCACACTGCTCAAGAATGTTTGGGCCAACCAGGAAATCAAAGAAGAACTTAAACAATTCATGGAAATCAATGAGAATGAAAACACATCAGTCCAAAACCTATGGGATACTGTAAAGCCGGTCCTAAGGGGGAAATACATAGCCATCCAAGTCTCACTCAAAAAAATAGAAAAATCCCGAATTCACCAACTAACTCTACACCTTAAAGAACTAGAGAAAAAGCAACAAATGATGCCTAAGCCACACATTAGAAGAGAAATAATTAAGATTAGAGCAGAGATCAATGAATTAGAAACCAGAAACACAGTAGATCAGATCAATGAAACTAGAAGTTGGTTCTTTGAAAGAATTAATAAGATTGAAAACCACTGGCCAGACTGATCCAAAAGAAAAGAGAAAGGACCCAAATTAATAAAATTATGAATGAAAGGGGAGAGATCATGATTAACACCAAGAAAATAGAAACAATTATTAGAAATTATTATCAACAACTATATGCCCATAAACTGAGCAATCTGGATGAAATGGAGGCCTTCCTGGAAACCTATAAGCTGCCAAGACTGAAACAAGAAGAAACTGACAACCTGAATAGGCCAATAACCAGTAACGAGATTGAAGCAGTGATCAAAAACCTCCCAAAAAACAAGAGTCCAGGGCCAGATGGATTCCCTGGGGAACTCTACCAAACATTCAAAGAAGAAATAATACCTATTCTACTGAAGCTGTTTCAAAAAATAGAAATGGAAGGAAAACTTGCAAACTCATTCTATGAGGCCAGCATTACCTTAATCCCCAAACCAGGCAAA